AGAAAGCCAGGAATTAGCTTTAGTGTAAAAGAAATCTTCAAGCACAATCAACTTTTCTACTTCATGTTGCTGTATTGTTCTAGGCACTACACACCGTTTTCTCTACACAGGATTCCTACCACAGAATGATAACAGGTCCAGAAAGGAAGCTAACAGGACGTAAGAGGTCAGCATAAAGGCGATGTTCTCCTCGTCTATTCAAATCATGCTTAGTTAAGCCATCACCAAGGAACCTGACACTGTTGCCATGGATGAGGTGCAGCTAGGGTCTGTGAATGGCTATTTTGGTCCTCAGATTTCCATTTGAAATTTAGAACCAGGTTCACCGGTACAGTCTCTTCTATTTTAAATAGAAATAACCATCTAAATATAAATAACACTTTTTTCCTTTTACTCTTTCCATATGCTATTTATTGTGGATGATAAAAAGACCACTTTATCTATGAAATTTATATATATATAATACTTCTCAAAATTTTTCCATTAACTAATATTCAGGTTTATTGTACGAAGTTATTTGTAACATTAGCTTATAATTTTTAAGACACCTATTTTTCATGCCAATATGACCCCTTTGTTGGTAATACTATTTGTGACTTTTCATATTTGTTTCTGCTTATCAGTTTTCCTTGAGGTCTGCAATTCTGACCTTAATTTTATGTCATAAAGTCTTGGATTCCAGCGAAGCAGCCCTTTGGTGCTTTTCCCATGTGTGAGACTCTGATCTTCTACCCTCTGAAGGGGCAAACTCCCCTGCTGACCCCCAACCAAAGGTCCTGCTCACTGTGTTTGGTTTCTGTTACTTTTGGGTGGAAGCTATGTTTCTCTTGCTTTTTAAATCCAGCTGTGTATTTTCTTTTTACTTTTCTCTCTATAGTTAATTTTTACACACTAGGAGCCGGATGAGTTCATCAGGTCACATGATCTGGAGGAGCCAAGACAATAAAATCGCCGCAAACTGTACTAAAGCCCCCACTCTGAGAAAGAATCCTTCCTCTCACCTGCTTCCCTCTGGTCCTGTTTCTCTCTCTCTTCCGTCTTTTGTTTTTGAACACTGTGTCAGGCACTGTGTGGACACCTTACAAACAGTATTTTCACTGCCAATTTTCAGGAGAGGAAACTATAGTTCGAAGGAGGGGAACAGCCCAGGGCCGTGGAGACACAGGTGAGTGGCAGGGGCCACACATCCCCTCCCCCCACCTCCCCTCGGGCCCTCGAGCTTGCTCCCCATCACACCTGTGGGAATGTGTTTTTCCTTCGTCCTTCTAGTTCATGGTTTCAGTGAAAGAAATGCTTTAACAAAGAGAGATTGGAACAAATCCAAGGGTGGTAGAAATGTATAGTGAATGTTTAAATTTTTAAAATATTTCCCATCACTTCGAAAACACTTACGCAGTGGTTCTTGCCACTTTCTGGAGCAGTTCTAGATGGCCTCTTTCGTGAGTGTCTTATGAGGTGTGATTAAAAACACACAGTGAGTGTTGCTACCCAGCGCCGTCCAGTGGAAAGGCAGGCCCATAGAACACCGCGGGGTGTCCTCGTTCGTGTTACTCACCAGATTCGACACCTCTGACCTCTGACTCTTCCTCACAGTCCAAATGACCACGAAGGTCAATGTTTTGAATCAGTTCAGGACATGGAGGCAGCCACGACTGTGAAACTATAGACATGAAAAAGGATTTCCTGAACTGCTTCAGAAAGTAGCACTGATGAGGCAGAAAGTGTGTTCGAAGCTGGGTTGGGAGTTGGGAGGTGGGGGAATGGATTTTAGGGTGATTAATGACAAAATGCTTTTTACTGTAATACATTTTAGAAAATTTAAATATTTGCCTTTTTTTAGGCACATCTTATATATTGCTAAATGCAGTAAAATGGAAAAAAGTAGTGTTCAAACAGCATCCTCTACACTAGTCACGGGATTTACTGTGACTTTTCCTATCAGTTTTCATTGGTCATAGAAATATTTACTTGAGATTCCTTCTGGATTGTTTGTTTGTTTGTTTTGTGGCACTGGGTATTGAACCCAGGGCCTCTACACTGAGCTACATCCCACTTGTATTTACAAATATTTTTTAAATTTTAAAGCAGGATCTCACTACATTGCCCAAGCTAAAGCTTGACCTTCTGAGCCTCAGCCTTCTGAGTCCCTGGGCTTATAGTGTATATGTGCCCTCCTGTTATATTTTTATGCAAAAACCTTATAAAATGTAGAAAAGATCTTCAGAGCCCATAAATATTTCTGGTTGTGTTCATCTCTACTTATTTTTCATGTTATAAAAATGCGCACATATAACCTGAAAATATGATTATATTTTCCACTGAGAAAAAGGCCTGGTTTCTTGATTTCTACAGTTAAAATTTTAAACTTGAAGAAACCAGACTTTTTGCTGAGTAGCAAATACAAATAACTCCAAGAATGCAATGCGCAAGTAGTACAGCTTCATTAATGAGCTATAACTGTTGAAAGAATGTTCCAGAGGGAAAGATAAGCATTTGTCAGATATTCTTGAGCCTCTGTCATATCTTTAGATTAAAGATATGCTTTCAGAGAAATATAGATAGCCACCAGCCTATGCTGAAAAGTCTTAAGAGTCTTCTTTACTTGAGTGAAATGCAATGTGAAATAGCATAACTAGGCAAATCAAAAATGACCTCTTTGTTTTTGAGCAGAATTCAAGGGATGGACACTAATGTTTATGTGCTATTTGACTGAATATGAAAAAACTATGTTTATGTTTTAATGCTGATCATAATATACATATGCATCATTTTTGTTTAGCATTTTGCGCTCTCATAGTTCTTTCTCTATTTATTCCTAAATCTAAATTCAACATTTCTAAGCAGTTGGACATCACCCCACTGATCTCATGGGCAGTGTGTATAGTCCTCCCTATTTGAATATACATATATCCCCCAGAAGTTGGGGCTGTAAATCTTGGAGTTTTCCTTAGTTTAGTCAGTTCTCTTCGGATACCATTTCCCTGTAGGTGAGTTGTGTGCCCCGTGTCTCTAGGTGGATACTGACTGGGCAGGACACGAGATGATTGAGGGGCTCTCGCTTCAAACCAGAAGCAAAGCTGACCCCACCTGGACACGGAAAGGCCTGGGTCATGGATAGGGATTTGCCGAGCACTGGGCCTGGCTTTCCCTGTGCCCCCAGAGGATCTGGAGGCACAAACAGCCAGCTGGGTCAGACACCCTCCCTAGAAGCAGCCGCAGGGGACAGGCCTGGATCTGCACTGGGCAGCCTAGACTGTTATGGTTTGTGTTTGACATTTGTATGAAACATGATTCTACACAGAACTTTGTCTTAAAACATGAGCCCAACTTTTCATTATTTCAAATATTCTATTAATATCTTTCAGAATCTTCGATGGTAGAGAATACACTATGTTAATTCATCATTTTAAATAATTGTCATATGTTTTTAATCATTTAATTACCACAATTATTATACTAGTATGTTATAGTCCTAGTGTTTATTCTTACTGTAGTACAAGAGTTCAAAGTTACTATCAATGCTAATATTATTAAGCTTTTAGTGTTATGTTAAACATAGTTTATATGTATCACCCATTTCAAAATTTACATCATCATATCTTTTAAAAGTAGGCTTTGAGGCCAGCTGTGGGTGGTGCATACCTGTAATCCCAGCACTGGGGAGGCTGAGGCAGGAGGATCACTGCAAGTTTGAGGCCACCCTGGGCTATAAAGTGAGTACAAGTCCAGCTTGAAGGAGACCCTGTCTCAAAAAGACTGGGCTTTGAAATTCAAAGGGGTTCTGTAAGCTGACCCAAAGACACATAGAAACTAAGCATAAGAATTGAATTTTAAGAGGAAAACGGTCCTTTCTCAGTTGCCTGATCATCATAAAATTGTACATATTCCACTATCCGCGCTTGAAATCATTAACTTTATAAACAGTGGAAAGGAGATGTAAAAAGCACAGGAAACTTACTATGTTATAATGACCTACCTTTAGCCACTATTGACTAGCTTTGAGGGGTGAACCTGCAGAAAGAGGAGTTTGCCTTCTTCCTCGGGGGCAGAGGGACACCTTCACCCCTGTGAGTTCCAGCGACATCCCAGGACAGGATGTGTTCACGAGGTGCAAGCAACCTGCAAATCCCAGCAGCATGGGCAGTAGGAGGATGCGGAGGGCCAGGGTGGGACGCGGGTGGGCAGGTGTATCACCCTCCTTAGGAACTCTGCTCTCACAGTCATCATAAGCCAGCCAGCCTCACAACTGAGCTCTGTCACCCAGCGACAATGTGCCCAGAGGGCAAAAATATCTTAAAATGCAAAGGTTTTCACTCTACTCTCCGAGAGAGCCTCTCAACCTGAACTGTTTATGAATAAAATTTGAATGTGGTTGTTTCACTGGAATATTTCAATTGATGTGGAAGGTGGGAGTGGGGGAGGGAGAGGATCTTATTTGTACCAGGTTTTCTCACATTATTAGACAGTCATTTGTAATTTTAGTTTTGAAGTATCTTCTAATATCTCTGATTATTTCAAAAGATGGTATAAGGCTTTTAAAAACATGAAAAGTATTGCTGCATCTCTCGAGGGCTGTTGAAACACTCCCCCCTTTCTCTCTTTCCAGAATAGCACAATGCCGAATTACAAACTGATTTATTTCAATATGAGAGGCAGAGCAGAAATCATTCGTTACATATTTGCCTATCTGGACATAAAGTATGAAGATCACAGGATAGAACAAGCTGACTGGCCTGAAATCAAACCAAGTAAGTAGCTTGAATCCTACTTCTTGAATATGCAGGGCAAATAACCTCCCAGAGCTGTTTGCTTTTCCTGAGGAAAAAGAAAAAGAAAAAGAAAGGTTTTCCAGCCTTACCTAGGTTTCCCAGTCCTAGCTTTAGATTGAGAAGCGCAATCCAGGCAAACTAAATAAATGCTACGTGGTTCAGCAGATTTTCTCTTACAGGTCAAAACACAAACCTCACAGAAAAATACTATAAAAATAAATCAGTATAGAATTTTTCAGAAGAGGTGAAATAGACGTGGGACATATTATTGTTTCTGTTTTATAGTTGGGATAAACTGCACAAGGTTTAGGTCATCTTTCCAGTTGCATGACTGTGGCAAGTAGAGTTGAATTTCAAAGCAGATCCATTTAACACCATGGCCGAAATTATATATACAGGACAGCACTGACAACATTAATACTGTGTATGATAATTGGCATATTGACAATAAATTACCACCTGCTTTTTGGAAGCATGAGTTCCGTTATAAATCATTGTCTCTGAAATCATTTGCTTAGCAGAGATACCTCCCCTGGAGGAAAACACGATCTTATTTCCTGTTCTCATGGAACTAACACTGACAGCCAATGCTTCTTCTGATGTCAGAGTTCACAGGTGGGTGGTGGACTCATAATATGGAGCATTCATTTTTATCCACTAATTAGACCAAATGGATAGCAAGTTGCAGGGATGTCTATCTCTATCTCTATCTCTATCTCTCTCTATCTCTATCTCTAATCTTTATCTATCATCTATATCATCTATATCTATACATGTATATATTTTTTCCTTTCAGTTTTTAAATCCAGCCTTTATAATTTTAGGTTTTCTTGGAGTGCTTCAGACCATATTTTACATTGGTTTGTGTCTTAGTTACTTTTCTGTCATTGCTGAGATAAAATACTCGATACCCAAAGTTAAGGAAGGAAAGCTGTATTTATCTCACAGTGGTTTGTAGAGGTTTCAGTCCATAATCAGCTGGCTCCAAGGCAGGGTGGCACATGGCAGAGAGGCATCCCAGAGGAGAATCAGTTCATGGCAGCAGAAAACTGCAAAAGGCCAGGGAAGGGAGAGATAAGCCTCTTTCTGCCACTTTTATCTTATCCAGACCGCTGGCATTAGGGCAGTGGACTGATCCAGCAATCACCCACACTTAATCCCAGGACTCTTCATCCCAGCATTGCACTATGAGTCAGTCACACACTCTAAATTCAGCCCCTTCTGAAGGAGAAAGCCCTACGATCACATGAGACTGAGGGGACATATAGACACAAACCATAATGGCTTGTCATTATGTTGTTGAAAAATGGAATGTCTGCATTTTCTTAATATTTTTAGAGATTCAGAGATTCTTAGAGAAGGATCTTAAAGTTCAAAAGGGTGAAGATACACTTTTAAATGCTTGCATAAGCAGAACTTCCACATAAAATGGTCTTAAAGAGGTTAGCAATTTCTATGGCATGAAACCACAAGTTGGTGTTAATGACGTTGCTCCATGAGGTTGTCAAGGGTTAGGCTGCTTCTTTCTTGTTGATCTGCCATCTGTCTTTGTTTTGTTTATTCAGGGCAAGACAGTGGTCTCTCCTTCTATATTCTAGTTCACGGGAAGTGTAGAAAGGGGAGGGGGCGCAAGCCTTCTCTTTTACTATCGGGACTAGAAAACTCTATATAACACTTCTGAGTCACACTGTATTGGCAGAAACTTGGTCACATGGCCCATGTTACTGCAACAAAAGCTGGAAAAGGTTGACTTCACTGTGGAGAACTATTTGTTCAGATAAAAATTAAGGGCTTTATTACTTTGAACAGCTGCTTCTGTTACAAAAGTTTGGTATTATCTATCTCCCATCCAATTTACCTATGCTCACTAGTATTCAAAACCCTCTAGGTCTAGGATATCCCCTTTGCTAGAACCCAGAACTAAATCCCAGGTTGATGCATTCCATCACTGAACATTTTTACTAAACAATTCTTTTTGGCTAACCCTTGCAGATTGTGCACATGTATTTACATTTTCTCCTTTAACAACATTAAGTACTTGTTCGTTAAAAGGCAAAGACCCGGGGGCTGGGGATTTAGCTCAGCGGCACAGCACCTGCCTGGCACACGCAAGGTCATGAGTTGGATTCCTGGTGGTGGTTGGGGAACAAAAAAAAGCAAAGACCTGTAAGGACAAAGAAACCAAGCTAATACAAAGTTGTGGAAACTAGAAAGAAGGTCAAAGTAAGATAAGGTGATTTAACAGGCCCATTGTGATGGTTAATTGTGTCATTTGAATGAGAGAAGCCCAACTAAATGGGCTCAGCAATTGTACAAGCTAGGGTGTGGAAGACCCACCCTAGGACAGCTCCTTACCTGGATGGTATAAATGAGAAAGGAAGAAGGATGGATCTGCTTCTGTTTCTTTGGAGGCGCTCCAGTCTTCCCCTTCACCTTGGCCACCACCTTCTGGCTTCTAGTGCAGATACTAAGCGCAGATCCTTGAGCCTTTAAGCATGCACTGCTCAGTTTTCCACTGCAGACCCCTTGGCCTCCTGCTATGGATGTGCCTGGGACACTGCCATGAGCTCCAGGCCTTTGACTGGATCCTTCAGATCTCCTGCGTGCAGACAGCCTCTGCACGCTTCCACATCCAACTCTGTGGTGGCCATTGTGAGCCAATCTTGTAAATTCTTATAGACTTGTGTGTCTTTGTTATATCTGTTTCTCTGGTAAATGCTGACTGATACACTTGCCCATCACAAACATAAGCTTGGAGGAGAAAACCAAAGCTGAATCTTTCCAGAAATGCTTGAAGAGGCACAGAAATTAGGAGAAAGGCACCTCTGAGTCCTGAGCTGAGAGGAGCTGACTGCGAGGAGACTGTGAAGGAGCAATGCGACTACCAGATCCCATCTCCTTCCTGGACGAGGATGGAGAGGATGAATCTGAAGATTCTGGGACAGCTGGCATGGTAGAGGAAAAAATGGCAGACTAAAGATGGGATTCAGTGGGCTGGGGATGCAGCTCAGTGATCGAACACTTACATGTCATATGTGAGGCTGTGGGCTCCATTCCTAGGACTGGAAAAATAAAATAAAATAAAATAGGAATGGGATTTAGTGGAAGTTAAAAATTTAAGTGGTGACATCCACACCCCTTTCCGTTGTTCTAAAACTACAATGTTGTGAATAGTCAGTCTAATAGCCCTCAGACAAGAACTGAAGGAATTTTCTCTGGGGAAACTGACCAGCCAGAGAGAAATGTCCAGTAGATGCTGAACCAGTGGGGGAGGCTGTCTCTCAAGGAAGTGGCCCACTTCTCTTTGGTAAGGCCCTCATGTACACTGAGCATCCAGTAAGCATTCACCGCTTTGCCTCTTAAACAAGAATGTCAAGATCAAACCAACATATGTTTGAGAAGAGCTTCCAATATGAAACAAACCTAAACAAAAAAAACAGGAAAAAAAGGACTTCTGAAGAAACTAAAATGATTTAATGGAAAAAAAAATATGGAACATATTATAAAATTCTCAGAGAGAAATGAATGTATTCTATGCATGAAACAAGAACAAGATGCTATAAAAAGTAATGTACACAAGCACATCTCTTAAAAATATGATACAAACAAAATGATAGGTAAAATGATGAAATAAGGAAATTCCTCAGAAAGTACAAAGAAAATAGGAAAATAAAAGAAAGATAATTAAAATCAAGAATCAATCAGTTTAAGCCAGGCATGGTGGCACATGCCTATAATCCCAGCACTTGAGGCAG